TGATCTTTCTCAACAAAAGCTCATGATAATATAAGGAAGACCAAATGTGGGCGGTTTCGGCCTTATCACATTTGGGTAATAAATCCACTATACTACTATGCCATTCTTTAGGTAAAGAAAATAGAATTTTCGTATTAAGCTCGGAAGTAGTATACGTCTTACCCAACATACTCAATTTGTTGACAATCTCGTTGAACCTCTTGTTCATGTCTTGGATTGTCTCACATGACCTTTTCTTGAAAGATTCGTATTCTGAATTCCCGAGGGCTAGCATGGTTTGTTTTGTTGAGGTGTCTCCTTCATGTGTAGCTTGGAGTAGATCCCACACCTCTTTAGCCGTTTTGCAAGAGCAAACACGTGCGAATTCATCAGGACCAAGAGAGTAATGCAAAATGTTAATTGCTTTTGCATTCATTGATAGCTTTCTCTTGTCTTCCGAAGACAAACCTGCAAAATCACCATTACTCGGTACAAATGGCCCGTGAAGTATATTCAACCATAAATCAAAATCAATTGATTGAATAAAATATTCCATCCGCATTTTCCAATAGGAATAGTTTTGGCCATTGAAAAACGGAGGGCGGTGAATGCTTTGGGAATCCATTTGAGCCATTTTTCAATAAATTTGAATTTTAAAAAATTAGGGAAAATAAAATTTTTGAGATCTTAAAATTCAAATTTAAAAAGGGACACAACAAGTAGATCTTTGTCGTAGATGCGATTAAGCACTTTCAACTACGAAACTGCTCCGATACCAATTCTTAGTCGGTTTAGTCGTTGTGCCCACGCCTTAGAGGGGGGGGGGGTGAATAAGGCGCTTAAAATCTTTTCGGAGTTTGATAAAAACGGTGTTGGCAAATGCGGAAGCAATATATAAAACGCAGAAATAAAAGCGTAAATAAAATGCACACCGATTTTATACTGGTTCGGGAAACCCCTACTCCAGTACCTCGAGGCTCCTACTCAAGGATTTCCGAATCAACTAAGTCCCGGCCTCTTGAACTCCGTCAAAGCACCGCAGTAGTTTTGGCAAACAACCCTTGCCAATAGGATTCATTTCGAGATTTCAAAATGGCTATCTTGAACCGTTTACAATGAAGATTTAACGGCTATCTTCTACCGTTCCCCCAAGGATTTCAAAGGCTATCCTTGAACCTTTACCCAAGGATTTAAACGGCTATCCTCAATCGATACAATATGAGAATTTAACGGCTATTCTCGACCGTATAAAGATGTGTTTGAAGAACAGAAACAAGAGTTCTACACAACGGCTTGAATATAAAAATGAAGAACAAAACTTAGCCGGTGTAGAAGGAAAGTATACTCTCTCAAAAATACAATTCAAACTTATGAATATGATGAGAGTATATAACTAGAAACACAAGCTCAAAAGTGTGTGTATATAAATTAGGAATTTAAGGCTCTTAAAATAGCCAAAATATTGAAAATAATTAATAAAAGGATGAACACACTTAGAATAAAAAGAGAGGATGTTTAGAGCTTTGTTTCTTGAAGAAATATGAAGGATTAGGCTTGTATTTATAATGGAAGGTGTTAATTAGCCGTTGGGAGGTGATTAGGGGTGATTAGAATTTAAATTGGCAATTTGTTACAGTGATTACAACGGATCCGGTACCCTTCACGGTAGGGTCTGTACCGTCCGGTACCTAGGTACCGTGACCACGGTATAGCCTACCGTTTGGGGGTACCGTGTCTTCCAAAAGTTCAGTTCGCCTCTGGCGGTACCTGGTTAGGACGGGTTCGGCCAACCGTCTATGCCTACGGTCGGTACTTAGGTACCGTTACACGGTATGGGGGTACCGTGTAGGCGGTATACCCTACCGTGTGGCGTACCGCTAGGGGTACCGTGACTTTGTTCTGATTTTTCCAAAATTCCCTTAATCCTTCGTATTTGAGTTTAAAACCTTTTAGATATTTGAAAATGTTTATGTGATGGTTTTAAACATATTTTGTGAGTGCTTTTGAGCTTGTGAATATAGGTATATAAATTCATATCCTTACATTGGTTTCTACCTATATTCTACGCTAGTTTAGTTGTTGGGAAAAATATTATAGATTTTGATAATGATTTATTTAGAATGTAATAGGGACTTTAGGTCTCCCCCAATATTCAATGTAATTTTTCTTTTTAGAAATATTGTGAAAACCAAGTTCTCGAGTTTTCAATAAAACTGTGATATTTCTTTAAGCGTTTTGATGCCTGAAGACTTGATCAAATTCAGTGATATGAAAATTGGATATCTTAATCGGAAGAGTCAGAGACAAGTAAGGATTTCTCAATCAGATAAAAATCCTCAGATCCGGAAGACTACATAAGAACCGGATGTCTCGCTACAACCCGCTGAACGCTAAGTCATTCAAATCGGAAGACTAGCGCGGATCTCCTTCTCACCCGGAAGTCTGAAAAAGACTCATCCGGATTTGTCAGCTAAGAATCAGAAGACTCACCGAAGACCGGAATTCTCAGAAAGCGGACAAGTGAGAAAAGGCTTAGAAAATTATCTAAGTCCTGAATGAAGAAATGCTACCCGTGACAAGGAAAAATCAATCTCTTGATTTTCAACGGCTAGATTGAAGATAATTAGGCTGATTCAAGAACAAATTACTCGAAGACAAAGTCTGGGTCTCTAAAAATTAAAGAGCCTGCCCGGAATTCCTAAACAAGCACTAGAAGACAAACAGAGTAAAGTGCTACAGTCTTGAATTCTTGAACAACGGCTAGAAGACGGATTTTGGGGAATCCTTTCTCAACAATTGGGTAA